CTAACGTTCGAAATTTCAAGTCAACATTAAAAACAGGAAAACGTTTGAGAACAGCCTTCCTGCGGAAATTGTTTAATTTGCCTCGACATGACTGAAAGAGTGAAGTATAGAGAAGTATGTTGGCAACAACTTGGCCTCTGGTTGGACAAACATCTGGATTTACTTTTGTAACGTGAGGAGAAATACCGCCGGCTCCGAGTCTGAACCAGACAGTAAAAGACCCAACAAAGAAGAAACTCTTCCTTTGATTTCAGCACGTGAAGGATTTTCATATAAATATTTCAAATTAGCCTTTTGATTTATGGATTTTAATTTAACTGCATTTAAGACCATGAAATAAATAATAGTTTATATATTAAAGAGCTGAGCTGACAATTCTCTCTACTTAAAAAAAAAAAAAAAAAAAAAGCCGAGTCTGCACTTTCAGCCAGTATCATTCATATAAAGGTAAAGAGAGTTAGGTATTTTGTATGTAGCTAATTTAGCAAATAATACTAAAAATTAAATAAATGCCCAACTCCAAATACTTCCTGTACATAAACTAATTTTAAATTTATCTTACAATATGTGTGTAACTTTAAATATAAAAACTGTTTTATTACACGTACATAAATTAGATGTAAGGACTTGTTTAAAAAGTCTTTGTTTTGCAACCTGCGTAACAATTTATTTTTGATTCTAGTCTTTATATGTGCAGAAATGTAAAAATGTAGGTAGCGATAAATTATACAGCTCAATATGTACCAGGTACTCTACAGTTCTTAGCTTATCTGTACCAGGTGACTTGTTACACTATACCTACATGGTACATGCCTGGTATGCACCAGATGTGTACCAGATACTTGCCTGGTATTTACAGGGTACTCACCTGGTATGTACTGGATTCTTATCTTGTACGTACTAAGTACACACTGGGCACAGCGTATAGCTGGTATCTATCCAGGTTTTATGATGAAATGACTTGTACTCTACACATACATGGTACGTACCTGGTATGCACTGGAGCTGTACCAGGTACTTGCCTGGTATTTACAGAGTACTCACCTGATATGTACTGAATTCTTACTGTATCTTGTACGTACTAAGTACATACTGGGTTCTGCATATAGCTGGTTTCTATCCAGGATTTTTTATGAAGCGACTTCTTTTCCCTTCACTTTGTATTTAGTGAGCACATACTTACCTGGTATGTATTTAGTACATACCTGGTATTTAATGGGTACATCCCTGATATGTACCTGTTCTGTACCAGGCAACTATTGGGTGAGTACTGTATGTCCTCATACTGCCACGTCCCCATTGTATGGGGTACCTGCAGGTACAGGGTAACAGTCACTTTGTAATACAACCAAGTCCTCATTTGTACTCTGTAAGTACTTGGCTGTGTTATGTATCGCTAACAAAAGGTATTTTGTACATGATCGTGAATTTAGGGTTGATCAAAACTTAACATTTGTGATAAACGTGCACCCTCCCTAACGCTCGAATAAATCAAATATATATCGGGGGGGTTGCATCGATGGCGTCTCTACATTCATTAGTGTTTTTGTTTAAGGCCATTTGGTAAGACAAGGGTCTTATTTACCACACATCATAAAAGAAAATTATCTGTCTCCGGCAGACCTAAAAATAAAATCTTCTCTCGCCTAATGAACTATTCAAACAGGAAACGGAGAATCGCTCCAGAGTCGGTGTCAACGTTCGTCTCCGTCGGCCGCGGTTGGTCAACGAGGATGAACGGGAGCGTCGAGGTTTAAAACAAGTCGAGGGGCAATGGTGAGCTTTCAGCTAGCTGTAGCAGCCTCCCCTTGGCTCAGGGTGGCCGCTTCTAATTTTACTTTAAAAGTCGGTGGAATGTCGAAGCCTGTAATCTCTCCCACTGATAAACAAACATCCCATAAAAGCTTCTCCTCAAATGAACCACTAAACGCACAGAGAAGACGATTGCTTCCAAAGCCACAATCTACCACCAGTCAGGGAGAGAGCGGGCACCATTTTGATCAATAGTTTAAAAAGTCCTTGAGGATATGAGTGTGTGCACATAGGACTGGGTAAAGGACAATAGTTTTAGAGTAAAAAGCAGCACCATTTTACTATAGTAACTGAATATTGTTAAAGTATCATTTGCACCTGTTTTTGTCCTAGAACTACATGAGCAGACTAAATAAATAAATAGATAAAAACAAGTCCCGAAGGTCAGCAATGCGTAACGGAAAAACGTAGCTATAACCAAAACAGATGTCAAATCAACCAACAGCTTCTTTAAATATAAATACTAAATGTATACTATAGATTTTGATATTGGTCTTAAATACTATAGGTAAAACTAAAAGGGTTGGAATCGTTAAATCTGACTTAGGAACGGCATCGCTGCCGTCGAAAACAAAAAGAAACTAGGTGCATTTTCTATAAGCTCTAGATAAATATGAAATTCTGTAGTAAATTCTTCATTTCTGACCTTGCAATTCAACTGCAACAGTATCACGTGTGAGCTTCATAAACTACATTTCCTTTGGAAATACAAACATGAATATTATAAGGTGCAAAATGCAGTGTTTGATACAGCCCCCTCTTCCAGGCTGTGCAACTCCGTCTTCTGTTAATATTTCATATTTGTTCTGCAGTGGAAATGTATCCAGCAGCTAATATTTTACACATCTTTAAAAAAAATGTTCGATTCCTAAAACCAGGGGGCGGGTATTGCAGGAATGAAAATGACCTAATGTGAAAAGGATGAACTAGAATTTATTTTTGAAATCCAAGGCCAGCAACAACGGTTTAATGGCCGACCTGTGCAGTGATGTCATCGAGACTTGTTTACTCCGCCATGGGCAGTTTGTGTTTACCAATGTGAAGAATCTTGACCTTGTTACCTTGAAACTGTCAAAGAAGCAATTTTAAGAAACATATTTTTATCAGATTTTTAAACTTACAGTAGTCCCTCGCTACTTCGCAGTTTGACTTTCATGGACTCGCTTGTTCGTGGATTTTTCAAAGTAAGATAGTACCGTACATGCCGCCGTACACGTTGCACCGCAGTATACGTTGCACCGCAGTATACGTTGCACCGCA